GCGCCACCAAATTTTGAGGACACTTTTTTAATTGGCTCAAAGAGAGAAGTGGCCCATCTTGTTATGTACTATCATTGATAACAGTACTCAAATACTGTGTGTGTCTGTCCGTGGCGATTACTTTACTCACACACTGTATATATTTGTCAGTTATGCTTGCACTCACATATTGTAGGTATCTGTCGGCCTCAGGGTGTGTGAAGGAATCTGTGCCAAAGCTGTACAGAACGAGGGAACCACCGGGCTTCAGGATCCGTTCTGCCTCGGCAAAAAATCTGGATATATGCGAAAACAAATTATTGCATTACAAAGAAGTATACAAAGAAACTTAGAAAAGTATTGCCTTTCTCTCTCTCTCTCTCTCTCTCTCTCTCTCTCTCTCTCTCTCTCTCTCTCTCTCTCTCTTCCCCACTCCTTTTTTCAACATTTCCAACGTGTTTGACCTTGTGAACCGAAGCAAGTGCAACCGTGGGGCCATGATTGGGTGTACTTGATGAAAATCGGTGGCAAAAAAAATCCAATCAGAAGACTACTGTGTATCACATGACTTTACAGGGTAAGGGTTTTATGTGTTTACAATTGGCATAATGGACTTCCCATCTAAATTTGATGAATCAAAGTAAAGGTAATTTGATACCGTTTGCTGTGATCAGCGTCTTCACTCAAACTGTTTCGATCCCATCTGATCAGGCAAATGGTTCGACAGGAGTTAAGAGCAACCTTACCCTCCTCTTTCTCCCCCCCCCTTTCTCTCTTTCTCTCTCCCTCCCTCTATCTATCTATCTATCTATCTATCTATCTATCTATCTATCTATCTATCTATCTATCTATCTGTAATGTCCATTACTATTAGGCAAACCACCTCTATTGCCTCAGTATTTAGGAAGACCTGGCAACTGTAACCACAGGCACGTATTTTAGAGAAGAGTGGTCACTACTGGTCAGTAATAAAGAGTACGTCCACCGGTACAGTCGTGTCTGGCTCCTGTTGCTTTCAATGTATGTCTAGATCTACATGTTGTGATTGTGATGTCCCGACGGTACACTATCTATCTATCTACTACATGCATCTCAGTCTCCCTGTCCTTTTCTTCCCCTTCTCTCTGTCCCTCTGCTCCCCTCTCCCGCTCTTTCTCTCCCCCTCCATCTAATTTTTGTCACCCACTCCCTCGTACCCTTTGCTCCCCCAAGACACGAAGCAGCGTGCCTCCTTGGTAAACTAAAGTTTGTCAATAGGGGCATAGAACGTTTTACAACGAAAGAAAACCTACCTATCCGGGTCCAGCCAATGAAAAGCGGTTGCTACAGTAACCAAATCCACACTTCCTGAACTAATGAACTTGAGGTCGTAAGCTGAGGCACACCGGAAGCTGATGTTGCGCATGTGCCTTGGCGCCTGGCTGATCTGTTTCTCACTGCTGTCTACGGCGATCACCTGTGGGAGACACAGATCTTTGATGTGGTTTTATCTAGGCTGATGAGGATTCTGTATGACTGACAAAGAATGTAGGAATAAATAAATTGATTATCAATCAATCAACCAACCAACCAACAAACCAACCAACCAATCAATCAATCAATCAATCAACCAATCAATCGATTTATAGATAAATAAATCCAATCT